TGGTTCCCTCGGCAGTTGCTCTGGCTTTGAGGCCAGAGGCAGAGCTAGCAGCAGACCAGTGGCGGAGGGGACAGCACAGCATAGCATGCAAACACCCCCGCCGGCCTGGTAAAGCAGCAGGAGTTGAAGACGGAGCGGGGGGGGGGGGGGGGGCGGGACCCTCGGTGGGGCCGGAGTAGCCAGAGGCCCCGCCCCCACCCCTCCGGCTTTGGCTCCTGCAGCACCTTTTCTGGGATTAGAGGGCGGAGGCGGAGCCAACTCAATGCCGGCGAGGATGAGGACAGCCCAGTAGGCTCCCATGCTGCCAGCTTGGTAGCGAAGCCTGCCGCTGCTCCTCCTCGCCCCCTCCCTCCCTCCGCCCTCCCTCCTCCTCAGGCTCCACCACGCGGGGATGCCAAGGGCGAGGGAGACGAGGGAAAAATGATCCAAAAAAAATTATGCTGGGGTACAAGACGACTCCCCACTTTTGAGATGATTTTCCAGGCTTAGAAAGTCGTCTTGTACCCCGGAATATACGGTAACTTTTTTTCGACTCTCTCAACATCTGGGATGCATTTACTTTCTCTGGATGACAATATATGAGAAAGTGCTGAAAAGAGGAGGGGTCAAGGGACTTGAGTATGTTAATTATTTGCTAATAACAAAAAGCCTAGAAGCACCAGGCTGCCATAGAGCAATTGATTTTGGAAAACTAGGGTGCTAAGGGTTTTTTTTGTGCTTTTTTGGTGACCTAAGGAAATACTGTGTATGCATCAATTTCACTGTACAATCCTGTCTATCCTTTGTACCTTTGCCTACATTTCATGGAACAATCCCAACAGACTAAAACTTTTGAGAAGTAGGGTTTACAAAAGCATTAGCTTACTATTTAAATCATTTTATGCTAAGTGGGGCCTCAACAGGATTTAGGTTCTTATGTCACATTAGCAATCTCTTTCCCAACAACATAAGATGTTAAACCAATTGAAATTACAAAGGTTTTCAGGATAAATACGTCCTGCCTTTGTCAGTTAAAACACACCATAAATTATTGTTTCTTGATTCCATTTCAGGATTTTCTATGGAAAGAAAATAATGCCATAAAAAGTAGTAGAAGGGAAACATTATGGAGGGAATGATGGAAGATGCAGATGTCTTTAACTACTAAACTTTAAGTACCAAGATTGCATTCTATGGAATTCTGGGATTTGAAATTTAGGGAACGATATTGAGAATTTTTAGCCATGAGACAATTCACTGTATTGTTGAAGGTTTTCATGGCTGGAATCACTGGGTTGTTGTAGCTTTTTTTGGGCTATATGGCCATGTTCTAGAGGCATTCTTTCCTGACCTCAGAGGTAGTGAGGATGCTTGCCATAGATGCAGGCGAAACGTCAGGAGAGAATGCCTCTAGAACATGGCGATATAGCCTGAAAAAACCTCCAACAATCCAGATACAATTCACCTCCAAGATCAAAGAAATCAAAAGGAGATTTAAACCAAGAATGGAGGTTACCAGCAAGAGAACAAGTGGCAGGACAAAGAAGAAATTTTAAAAATGATAGAACCATTACCCAGAAGATCTATTTTTTAAAAGTGGAAAGGATAATAAAATCATTCATTCATTTGCAGATGAACCTAAAATTTTAGACAATGTATTCATTACTTATTAGTTTATTTTATTTATGTCCCACCTTTCTCTATATGGGCACTCAAAGCGGCTAACAACCACACAATTTGGTCACAGTTTAAAACAAATCAAATACAACATTTTTTTAAAAAAAACATTAAATAGTATTGTGTGGATTTAGATTAAAATATAGTTATAACATAGTAAGTACAATTAAAATTATAGTAAAACTCAAAATCCCCACAGAATTCCACTCACAACTGCCCCAGCAGCATGCCCCTCATCCTTCCCTAAATAACTGCTAGCACAGAGAGGTGTTTACCTGCTTGTGAAAGGCAAGCAGATATGAGGCCCTCCTGGTCTCTCTTGGGAGGGAGTTCCAGAGTCTGGGAGCAGCCACCGAATAGGCCCTCTTCTATGTTCCCACCAAACACACTTGAGCAGATGGTGAGATAGAGAGAAGACCCTCCCCAGTTGATCGTAGATGTCTGACAGTTCTGTAGAAAGATCATTCATATATCCTGGACTGAAGTTGTATAAGGGCTTTGTAGGTCAAAAACAGCACTCTGAATGGGTCTGGAAATGAGTTTGCAGCCAATGTAGTTGTACAAAAATGAATTGGAAGCTTCACTCAAGGCATTTGGGAGAAATAAATCAACATTAACAGATGTGATTGGGATGGAATGTACTCTAGTTCGAACTAAAATCTTTCAACAAATATGGAAGACAAAACAATGACCCACAAATTGGAAATACCGTATGATTTTCTTATCCATGAATAAGATATCCAGATTCAGTTTCCCATACTCTATAAAAATGTCTGTGGGCCTCACCAGGTCCTCCAGTGCAATTTTGTGATATGTTTCCACCCCAAATATAGTCAAAATACAGGGTTTCAGGTACTCTCTTATGGGCACAGAGGTGGTACTTTACTCAATATACAGTCCACAAGAAAGATGACACCATTGATTACAACAGCCACAGCTACAATAATGCTCAAATTCTATAACAAATACTTTTATCACATATGAAGTGAGAAATGCCGGATGTCCTAGCTGGGTTCAGGAAAGAAAGGAGCACTAGGGCTCATATTGTACATGTATTTTGGTTAATAAAGTACAGAAAAGAATTTTAGAAGAAAATCAGCCTGCACTTTATAGATTATAGCAAAGACTGTGATATCATGATAAACTTTGGATCATGCTTAAAGAAATGGGTTTGCCACAACTTTGGCCATATCGTGCGAAGACAACAGTAGTTTTTTGTAAGATACAAGGCAGTAGAAAAGGAGAAAGACAACATTCCAGATGGATAGACTCAAACAAGGAAGCTATAGCCTGGAGTCCGCAAACTGCAATGAGGCTGTTGATGACAGGGTGACTTGGATATCTTTCATTCATAGGGTCATTATAAGTCAAAGTCAACTTGATAATGAAAACACATACTTACTAGTGACAGACTAGTATATGCTATAGTTTTTCCTTTATATTGTACTGTCTACTTATTTTATGCTTTGTCTCAGCATTTTGTGCCATATATAAGCTGCCCCAAATCCCTTCGGGGAGATGGAGGCAGGGTACAAAAATGAAGTTGTTGTTGCTGTTGTTGTTATTATTTGATACACAACGATTTTAGTACACAGTAAACAAGATCACTCTGCTGGCTTTTGTATTTGATCACACGTTGAACACTTCCCAAGTGTGTGATGTATTGGCGAATAATGCATGCAGATCCGAGTAGGGTGGCCTTTTGCAGCTGACAGATAGTAATTTTGTCAGCACCAATTGTGTTTAAGTGCAGGCCAAGATCTTTAGGCACTGCACCCAGTGTGCCAATCACCACTGTGACCACTTTGACTGGCTTGGGACAGAGTCTTTGAAGTTCTATCTTTAAATCTTCATATCATGTAAGCTTTTCCACTTGCTTCTCGTCAATTCTGCTGTCACCTGGGATTGCAATATCGATGATCCGTACTTTGTTATTTTCCACGAGCGTGAGGTCAGGAGTATTATGCTCTGAATTCAGTCTGAATTCGGAAGTCCCAAAGGAGTTTGACGACAATGATGATTTTGATGATGGTTATTATTATTATTATTATTATTATTATTATTATTATTATTATATGTTTAATACCAAAACCTTATCATATATGGAATATACTTGTTTGTAACATAAATAACCCCCAACTTCTATTTAACATATATGGTGAATCACCACAGACTTATATTTCACTGAAATCCCAAAGTTGAACAATAGAGGATTTTTACAAAATGAAATACACTCCACAGGCCCCTATTGCACAGATACATATAGGTTTTCTTTCATTTGGCCTTTTAAAAACAAGAAAAACAGCAGCCAAGAATCTTACAAGTTGATTAACTTGGGCACACCACGAATACAGAAGGAAAGGGAATGAGGCACTAGAAGTCGCAACATGAAGGAAAACCGATAATAGAACTTGGGCTGAATAGACCTCAGATTTACAGGCTATTGAAGAATATTTCTATTTTATTTGTCTTTTTTGTGTCAGTGAACCTGTGTCCATAGACTGCAAATGACTCGATCTATTTCCAACTATCAAAAGAAAATGTTCCACTATAATATGTCCTATACACGAGGAGAGACAGGTAAGAAATAAAATCATCATCATCATCATCATTATATCTTCACTCAGCTCATATCTGTATGTTCTAGAACCATTATGTGTTACTTTCTAAACTAAAAGGTGAAACAAAAATGCTATCTTGGGATAATCATAAGGAAAGAACAGCAACATTGAATTCTGTGCCACTTAGTACTTTGCTGTGTTGCTGTCCCTAGAAACCAAAACCGAACTTCTAATGAAATCTAGAAACTTCAATACAAGTTAACAAATGTTATTTCCACATTGTGATGCAAATACTACATCTGTTCTAGGCAATGATGGATTTGGTGAAAAGGGGGAAAGCTCTCAGATGTTCATCACAAGATATACCAAGCATTAAACTGAGTTTTTCAATAGTAATCATTCAAATGTGAGTACTGGAATGGTACTGGAATTGATAGAAAACTGGGCCACACAACCTCCTTGCTCTGGTGTCACAGCTTCACTCCCCTCACGGCCTTGTTTTGAGGTCAAACTGGAATAACCAGAATTCTCCATATTCACCTACCTCTATTCTCCAGAGGAAAGGTGAAATGCAAAGCCAATGAATGCATACATATTAAAATATAACAGTTCTATTTGCAAATCTGGATTCAGAAGTCTGGCTTATTAGGTTAAGACTGGGACTTTGGTCTCTTTTATTTGGTTCCTCTGGCTATTACACTCTCTAAAGCTGGAACATTAATCACACGTATTTGCACCTATTGTCCTGTAGGCATAATTGCCATCCAGGCTATGTTGCGTTACCTGTTTGAGCTGGAAGCCTATTCAGGTTGCTGTACTGGTTGCACTCCTCTCCCCTTATTTTCTGGCACTGTTGGCTGAGGTCCTCGGTATTCGGCACAGGTATCATGGCTGTGGAAACAGTTTTCCAAGTGTGCTTCAGAGCTGAAAGGCTCCTTCCAAGACCTTTGCTGTCAAAGCTGGCGCCACTTCCTGCTGCCGTTAAGCATGGTAACATATGACAGGAGCTGGCTGCTCAGTGAAAGTTACCAAGGGATCCATGAACAACTTTCCTTTCTCTTTCAGCAGGCTTTGCCTCCTAAGTGACACAGCTTGTTGCTATTCCGGGTGAGCCTATCATGAGCCAGAGGGGAGGGCTTTCGCTCAGAAGTATTGTTTTTGCCTTTAAACAAACAGCCAAAGACTTGCACAGGGCTCAACAGGCACTCCAGAGCTTTTGGCTTAAAGCTTTTCCATCTCTCCAGGCAGCATACTTTCCCCTCTCGCCTTTTCTTCCCTCTGTTAAAAAAATAATAATAACAACTAATGTGTTTGCAGTGTCAGCAAATATTTTTGAAAAAAAATAGGGCACCAAAAAAAGCACATAACAGCTGGAATTAATTCTTGTGCCACTATGAGCAATTGGGAAAAAAGCATGTTAGAACTACTGGTGGTCTTTATTTTTATATTATTATTATTTCTTAGCAATCTGTGCCATACCCATTTAAAGAGGAAAAAAAACAGTGTCTGAAAGAAAAATGGGTATATATAAGCTAGACAGGGACAATCATTGGTTTTACACAGGCAATCATTTCTATGGTGTATTAGACAAAACATCTTTCTTGTTGGGTTGTTGTAGATTTTTTTCGGGCTATATGGCCATGTTCTAGAGGCATTCTCTCCTGACATTTCGCCTTCCTCTAGAACATGGCCATATAGCCCAAAAAAACCTACAACAACCCAGTGATTCCGGCCATGAAAGCCTTCGACAATACATCTTTCTTGTATTCTAAAACCACTTCTGGTCCAAAAGAGGTTCTGGTTTATTTCTTCCAAACTCTTGCAAAAGGTGCAATATTGAGATTATTATAAACTTCATTAGCTGTAATTCTATGTATACGTTGAACCATTCTATATGTATTCAGCCACACTGAATCTCTCTGTTTCACCACCACCACCAATCTTTCTTGTACTCAAACAAGCTCTGCTCTGTTTATGGAAAAATCCAAACTCTTGCAAAATATGTTTTCCAGAGTGGAAAAAGAGATGCCTGGGTACATTATGAACCATGATTCTATCACGACACCTAGGCATTATTCTAAAATACAGAAACACAGTCTCACAAAATCATGTTTTATCATGCATCACATACAGCTTCAACCAACACAAAATCAGAATAAAATCAAACAGGGCAGAAGGAAACATGGTGAATAATAGTAGATAAAAACTTGAAAGTCAGAGTCTATCAACTTGAAAAGTTTGCGAGGGTATAAAGTTTGTGCCTCCTAGCAGTAATTACCACCATATTTATGAAGGAAGTTCCATAAACGTATCACCATGATAACGATCCTTTTCTCAGTTCTCCATTCACCTCACTTCAGAAAATACTCAGACTATATAGGCAGATCTATGTGCACATCAGACTGAAAATATCAGTGTTGTTCCCCCCTTTCGAAAATTCTTATTTTCCAGATCTATTGTGCTTTTTAGTTGGGCACTGATCTTGCTGTCCATAAACAGACTATTGAGATAAATTGTTTGCAAATGTACATGCTGCAGGTACTGTACAAAGGTATAAGTCACTTTCAGCACATGCTTTCCAATAGTTTAGTACACACATTCACTGTCCTGTCTTGAACTTGTTCCTAAATAATCAAATTGCCCAGTGTTATTATGTGTGACTTCTGGACATAGTCTTCTTATCCATGTGGCTAGACAGCATGCAAAGTTTTTCTTGCAAAGTTGGCTTGAACATAGGGAGACATGTGCACACCTGTGCCACCCAGCTTCCTGCTAACATGCAGTCTTTTTCATTGACAGAAACAAATTATATACATTCCCCTCCTGGTGCCCCCATATCACAACACCAGTCTTGCATGTGCTCACATTTCTGCTTAAAAGCTTACATTAGTGAATCTCCAATGCTACCACCAGACTTTCACAATTTAATATAGAATTGTTTGGTTGTCTTTCCAAAAAGATTCATAAAGTCTCCTCCATCTAGTCACCAGTATGCAGTTGACTGAATGCAGCTTAAACTGCTGCAATGTTTTCTCCAAGTGTAAGACAAACCAGGACAATTAGAGTCTTTCTTTTGAGCATAATTTCATCTGACATTTCTGTCTGCTTCCCTGCATTATATAGATTCTGTAATCATTTTATTTAATTCTGCTGACAGGCTGATGTGACAGGAAGAATGTCTTCAGGATCATATACAATTCCTGGCTTTGATTGAATCCAGTTTGGTGCATCATAAGTTTCAGGGATGAAAAACTCTCACTCTCTCTCTCTCTCTCTCTTCTTCTTCTTCTTCTCTCTCTCTCTCTTCTTCTTCTTCTCTCTCTCTCTCTCTCTCTCCCTTCCCTCCCCCCCCCCCAAATTTCCTGTTAGGGAAAAGGCAGAACTACTTAATGCCTTCTTTGCCTCGGTCTTCTCACAAAATGAAGGTCATCTTCAACCTCAGCAAGATGGAGTGGATGAGGGATTAGAGGACATCCAACCCCAAATTGGGAAACCAGTCATCCAGGAATACCTGGCCGCTCTAAATGAGTTCAAGTCCCCAGGGCCAGATCAACGACACCCAAGAGTACTGAAGGAACTAGCGGAAGTCATTTCGGAACCATTGGCAATCATCTTTGAGAGTTCTTGGAGAACGGGAGAAGTTCCAGCAGATTGGAGGAGGGCCAATGTGGTCCCAATCTTCAAGAAGGGAAAAAAGGATGACCCAAACAACTACCGTCCGGTCAGCCTCACGTCGATACCAGGCAAGATTCTGGAAAAGATTGTTAAGGAAGTGGTCTGCAAACACTTAGAAACAAATGCGGTCATCGCTAATAGTCAACATGGATTTATCAAAAACAAGTCATGCCAGACTCATCTGATCTCTTTTTTCGATAGAGTTACAAGCTGGGTAGATGCGGGGAATGCCGTGGATGTAGCGTACCTGGATTTCAGTAAGGCCTTCAACAAGGTCCCCCATGACCTTCTGGCAAACAAACTAGTCCAATGTGGGCTAGGCAAAACTACGGTGAGGTGGATCTGTAATTGGTTAAATGGACGAACCCAGAGGGTGCTCACCAATGCTTCCTCTTCATCCTGGAAAGAAGTGACGAGCGGAGTGCCGCAGGGTTCCGTCCTGGGCCTGGTCCTGTTCAACATCTTTATTAATGACTTAGATGAAGGGTTAGAAGGCAGGATCATCAAGTTTGCAGACGACACCAAATTGGGAGGGATAGCCAATACTCCAGAGGACAGGAGCAGGATTCAAAATGATCTTGACAGATTAGAGAGATGGGCCAAAACTAACAAAATGAAGTTCAACAGTGACAAATGCAAGATACTCCACTTTGGCAGGAAAAACGAAATGCAAAGATACAGAATGGGGGACGCCTGGCTCGAGAGCAGTACGTGTGAAAAAGATCTTGGAGTCCTCGTGGACAACAAGTTAAACATGAGCCAACAATGTGATGTGGTGGCAAAAAAAGCCAATGGGATTTTGGCCTGCATCAATAGGAGCATAGTGTCTAGATCTAGGGAAGTCATGCTCCCCATGCTCTATTCCGCTTTGGTTAGATCACACCTGGAATATTGTGTCCAATTCTGGGCACCACAATTCAAGAGAGATATTGACAAGCTGGAATTTGTTCAGAGGAGAGCGACTAAAATGATCAAGGGTCTGGAGAACAAGCCCTATGAGGAGCGGCTTAAGGAGCTGGGCATGTTTAGCCTGAAGAAGAGAAGGCTGAGAGGAGACATGAGCCATGTATAAATATGTGAGAGGAAGCCACAGGGAGGAGGGAGCAAGCTTGTTTTCTGATTCCCTGGAGACTAGGACGTGAAACAATGGCTTCAAACTACAAGAAAGGAGATTCCATCTGAACATGAGGAAGAACTTCCTGACTGTGAGAGCCGTTCAGCAGTGGAACTCTCTGCCCCGGAGTGTGGTGGAGGCTCCTTCTTTGGAAGCTTTTAAACAGAGGCTGGATGGCCATCTGTCAGGGGTGATTTGAATGCAATATTCCTGCTTCTTGGCAGGGGGTTGGACTGGATGGCCCATGAGGTCTCTTCCAACTCTTTGATTCTATGATTCTATGAATGTGGAAATAACAAATTGCAAATGGAATAATATAGATAAAATTGAAAGGTTACAGTAACTAAGAGGATGTGGGAACCAGTTAGGAATTATTTAGATAATTCCACACCAGTACATAAGAGCACTTCGCTTTTTGTCCAAGATGTCATTTTCAGCTTCTACATGTACTTTAAATGAACTGTTTGCACACCCCATATTCTGATAGATACTTTGCACAAACTAAATTACACACTATATTCAAGTTCACAAAACAACTTTTTCTGCTTCTTTTTGCATGTACCCATAGCTCAAGGGCAATACTTCTTCCTGGATGCTCCTCTCCTTGACTTTTTGTGCTGTCTGCCAAAAGTTGCCCCACCCTTAATCAAGTGGGTATTTTAAAATTGAATTATGTTTTGATCTTTTGAACTGAAGATTTGTTATCTGTGTCAATATGGATTGTTGTTTTAACAATAACATTTTCATTCAAATATGTGGCATCAGGAGCTACTTCCCAAACCAACAGAAATAAGATATACACATTGTTTGGATGTGTATATGTGTGTATGTATAAAGAGCTAAATTGGTTTTACTATTGTACAGTAGGCTCTCCACTTTTGCATGGGTTAGAGGCAAAAGAACCCCATAAAAGTAGGGAAAATGCAAATTTTAAAAATGCTATATTCATTTACCTGGGAGAACATCTCTTTAGGAATATCTAGATTCACCAGGGCCAGCAGAGGTTGGCCACAGAGTTGCCCTGGAGGACCTAGGACACCATGTTATTTTGTATGGCCCTCTAGAGCAGTGGTTCCCAACCTTTGGGCCTCCAGGTGTTTTGGACTTCAACTTCCAGAAACCCAGTCACCTTACCAGCTGTTGGGAACTGTGAGAGCAGAAGTCTGAAACACTTGGAGGCCCAAAGATTGGGAACCATTGCTCTAGATAGATGTCATGTATTCCTCATTATTGGACATCATGACTATAGCTGATGGGAGTTGTGATGCAGAAACATTTGGAAAGCTGCAGTTTGTTCTGTTTAGTCAGGGTAGTGGGGTTTGAATTTAGATATGATTATTTATGAAGTATTATGGTGTGTTGGAAGCTGCTTCTTCAGCTGCTCCTGTCCTTCCATGTGTGTGATGTATGCCAGTACCACAGAAGAACCAGTTGTGCTTTAAATATATATCCTGCGTGAAAGATTAAACTGTCCTGGTTCAGAACATAG